AGTCTTTGGATGCTGAAAAATTTTACATATTCTTTAATGAAAAAAGTGCCTTCATTTTTTATGTAATGTGGTAATCCACCTCCACCTCTCTGAGCGATGGTAGCTAGGTTGAAGGAAGAATTCTTCCATTGGCCTAGCTGCATCCACACAAGGACTTAGGTTGGTTTAACTGTGGCACTTAGGGGTGTGAATTTTTCATTCTCCTGAGCGACATAGCTATAGTTTCATCTAAATTTTAAGTGTGGACTAGCTCTTAGAGTTTAATTCCTAAAACTCAAACCTTGAAATTCAGTGTTAGTCTTCCTACATTCCCCTTACAAGAATGCTAACAGTAGAAGAATGAACAGAAAACAAACCTTGGGAAAACAGGAAATGGAGAGTCAGACTTAAAGTTGACGTTCTTCAAGGGCAACCCCTATAGCATTGGAGGGGTCAGATTGTCAAGGGTTTGTGAGCTTAGCTAGCAGTAGTATTGGGAGGGTGAGCTGAGAAGTCTCTACCCAACATTGGAAACTTAATGTAGAGAGAAGGGGTTTTGTACTTCCCTTCTCTGCAGGAGCTAGGGATAGAGACATGCCCTCCACATATTCCCACTTTGAGAATCTCAAGAGGCTTGCTGCTACAACTATGTACCTTTTGAAGCCATGATGGGGAGAAGGAGTTGGTGCAAGGACTTGAAATTGAGCAGGGCTATCACCCTGTTGTCAGGAATGTGCCTTGTACTGTACCATAAAACTCCACCCAAGTTTGGCCAAGTTATAAGCCTCTGAAAAATCTCCATGTTCACATGCTCACTAGAGGTTTAAAGTTCAGCAGCAAAATTCTCTACAGATTGCATCTGAACTAAGAATGCTCCCTCCCTGCACTGCTCCTGCGTGCCAGCTGAACAACACACAAATAGTTTCCACAGAGCTACTGAACATGCTCCCTTCTGGAGCTGTAGGGCCTGAGCTGGACTTTTCCTGCAATTGCCCCTACCAGCTGTAGCTCTGGACACCAGAACTGAGAACAGGGTAGCCTGTCTCTCCTATGTCCTTAATGCTCCTCTGCTGGTGCCCAGGAAGTGAGGAAGAGGAGGAAGAAGCCTGACTTCAGTGCAGAGGGATGAGGAGCAGGAGCTTGGGGACAGGGATGGGAACAAAGAGGCCAGGGGAGAAGGGAATATAGGCTGGGAGGGAAAGGGGAACAAAGAAAGGAATAGAGGAGGAAGGAGTCAGCATGATACAGACTGCTAGAGCAGATTCCCTTCCAGATCCTAGGATTCCTGAGTCTCAATAGTCCTCAGCTATCAGAATAGCTGTGAAACCCACTGGCAAAGTGTCTGTCTCTCTAGTGGCTGGTCCACAAAGAGGGTAAATTACTACTCCCATTTGCTTTATTTGCTCAAGTAATAGAGAAGTCTGCTGTGGATCTCAAGGTCTCAACCATGCTGATGCATCATGTGAAAGTCAGTACAGTTCTAGTGATGGATGGATGTTTGTTTTTCAAAAACCTAGTAAATTACATAATCTGTGCAATCCTTATTTGGCCCCTTTGTATGTAGTATGCACTATGATGCGGTCTTTAATTACATGACCAGAAGCTATTTTTCAGAGTAGTGCTCAGCTGCCTTAATTATACAATCATCCTTTTTCTTCCATAAGTTCACTGCCTCATTCACTACACACCTTCTAGCTTCTGCGACAAAGGCCGAGTATGCTACAGAGAACAGCCCAATTGACTACATAACCCTGATTATCTCTAGAGCAGATCCATCTTGTGCACTGAATGAGGCGGGGTGCTGTAATTAAAGTCTCTGTCATAATACGTATGCAACTGCTAGCTTGTCTTCTCTAGGAATTTTACCTCAAGTTAGTTAACTTGAGTTAAGAACGGCCCGTTTTTTTCCTAGTGAAAACAAAGCCTTGTGATACCTGTGGTCAGAAAGTCTGTGGTCAAACCAGGATTTTGAGCCCAGGTCTGCATAGTCCCAATCCAGTGCATTAATCATAAGGCTGCTATTACTCCCAAATCTCACAGAAGTAGGGTGTGTTCTATACAAACCTAATTCAAGTGATTTGCCTGGCATCACATAGGAAGCCTGTAATAGAGCTCAGGACAGGACCAAGATAGAGCCCATCCATTGCCGAAGTAACTGAGAAGTTGCACAAAATCATCTTATCTGCAAGATGCAATGTGGGGAGGAAAGGATGTGTTGCTTTTCCCTAGGGTAGTGATGGTCTTGGTTGATAAATATTTCTATGCACTTCAAAGTTGAGGAGACTTGAAGTGACTTCCCTAAGCTCAAGTGTTAAAGGTCTATGCTGTGGTTATAAGGGTTCTCAACTCTACTGATGATCCATGGGAAAGTCAGTATGGTTCCACATAAAGGAATTTTTCTAGTGAAAAATCTCCTGGTGCTGTATTTTAGGAATTCCGCCCACCCCAAAAAAAACCCAATAACTTTACAGTCAGGTTTTGCAGCTGTTTCTTGGTGACAAACTAGATCGCCTTAGGGGAAGTCCAGTGATAAATGTGGTTAGTGCCCAGTGTTTTTTCCCATGTCTGTGCAAAAAGGCATGATAAGATAAGTAATAAATTGAATTAAGCTAAATTTTATTTAACCATTTTTATTCCAAAATAAATGTCCACACAGACTTGCACTAAACTACGAAACTAGTTTTAATTCAACATTTGTTTCAATGCAAATTTGTGTTTAGACCAGCCTATTTTAAAAAAGGATAATTAGGAAGAAGGAGAGGCTGTATATGTGACTCAAATTTGCAACCAAAGCTGAATCCTGAACCCTCTGTTGCTATAGCATATTTCAAGCCAATCTGACTATGCATGTGGATTTAGAGAAGCTTAAAACTTTTGTATTAAACAGAAGTCGTGTTGCAGTTTTACTATGGTGTGGCTATTGCCACCCTATAGTAACTTTAAAGTGTATTATTTAAGGCAGCCCTAAACCAGACCAAACCGACTGAAAGAAAATGAAACAGCTGCATCAAGTCATGCCAGTTGGAATTACTTTACTACTTTTACAAACAACACATGACATGATTGAAAATTTTTAACATTATATATGACTATGTATTTAATAATAATTAAATTTTAGGCTTTAATCAGGTTGGAGTCTCATTCTGCTAGGCACCGTACAAACATAGGACAGTCCTTACTCCAAAGAACCTACAGTCAATTCAAGATAAATAGGTGGGTGAATGAACAAGCAGACAGAGTAATAGTGAGGTCATAGTAATAGAATATTGCAACATAGAGTAGGTGTAGACACTTATTTTTACAGCTTTTATTCAAATCACAGATCTATCTGAACCCTTCATTTGTAAGGGACTGTCCTACCCTTGCTGTCCTACCCTTTTTAAATAGCCCCTTATTACTACCACTTATTAATAAATACAACTAATTTACATAGTAGTTTAATTTAACTCAGTGTTTTACAGAACATAGTCCCAATAAAAGTAATGTTTTTAGTTGCAGTCTGTAATGTGAACTAATATGTATACAGGAATTGAATTGATTGCCAAGTTTTTTCATTGTGCATCAAATCCAGTGGTTCTCGAACTTCTTGTACTGGCAACTCCTGTCACATACCAAGCCTCTGATTGTGACACCCCCATCCCCCAAGTTAAAAGCTCATTTTTTATATTTACACTATTTTAAAATGATATTTGTATGTTTTGTTAATATCACTTTTCACAGCAGACTTACTAACTAGCTGGGAGACATGTGCTCGCAACCCCCATGTAATAACTTTGCGATCCCCTGAGGGGTCATGATCCCCAGTTCGAGAACCCCTGAAATAGATAATAAAGCCAAATGAGTGCAATAAATACATGTGATCCTTGTTTTGATGTACAGCTAGAAAGTGAAATGATATGGTGAAGTCTAATACTGTGCATTGCTTTAAGGGGTAAGCTGCAAAATGGATTTGGACTTGGTGTGATATTTTCACTCTTTTTTAAAATGCTATGACTTAAACCCTAACCTCCCTGTTTATATTAGCCCCCATGGAGTATTTGCTTTGTGAATAATGGTGATGGTACGCTGAACAGCATCAGAAATTAGAAGCTAATATTAATAGTTATGAGTCAGAATTCAGAAATAAAATGGTATGTGCTATATGTACTGTAATAACTATAACCACTTTCCAGCAGAGTTACTTGTGAAATTTTGGATTATTTTTCTGCCTTGTTTTACATGTTATCTCTCTGCCATTAATAAAACTCCTGGTTTAATTGAAGGCTCAGTTTACATCAAAAACTGCATTTAATTCAAGGAACATAGTGTGTTCTGTAATAGAGGCATGCCTTACTTTAAAATCTACTTCATATAGTGTATTCATAGTTTGCCTAAAATTCTGTGGTATTTGAGATGAATACAGTACAAGGGTTATTTGATTTTGCGGGTGTTTTTGTTTTTTACTTTTCCCTTTACAATTTTGACTAGGTTTTGTAAAAGCTTATTTTCACAAATTGTAATATGTGGCTAAGTTTAACTTGTTTTCTATTAGTGTGAGAAGACTTATTGTCGAGATTTTCTTGCTCTGACCCTTTAGATTTTTTGTGTGATTAATTTTTTCTTGACAAAGAAACAGGTGATGAAAAGTACAAAAATGGTAAATGTGTTGTGCTTGTATGTGTTTCCAAATACCGCACAGTTCACTGGATCACCATTAGAATTATTCAGTTATCTAATTTTGCAACTTGTCAAAGCTGCAAAGCCAGACAATACAAAACCAGACAATACTACATAGACATAATATGTTAGACCCTTTAGATTTTAATGCAGATTAAATACTTGATTCATACTTTATTCAGAAGTATAATGGGATGTGTAGTCTTACATGGCTGAAGCTTTCTTGTGAGAAGCATGAAAAAACATTCTTATGGAATCATTTTTCCAGGAGGATGTTCGCCTTCATCTTTATTTATCAACTGTTGCAGTATGGTGGATAATAAATTAGCTAAAATTGGACTTTGTTTTGCTGATATGTATTGCAGCTTTACTGGTACACCAGAAAGCCAGGATGGAGCGACTTCAACGTGAACTCGAGATTCAAAAGAAAAAGTTAGATAAACTAAAATCAGAAGTCAATGAAATGGAGAATAATCTGACACGAAGGCGCCTGAAGAGATCGAATTCGGTTTCCCAAATTCCTTCAGTAAGTCAAAATCTCTATATGCTGTAAAATTCAAACCCATAAGCATGATCTTTCATAATAAAATAAATGACACAATAATTTATTTAATGGCACATTGTATCTAGAATTAAATTGGTAGCCAGTGTTGTTCCAAATACAGATATAACAGGTATAATATGCTCCACATAGCAAGAACGGCTAAGTTGGCAATTACGTTGTGCACTAACTGAACTTTCTCAGTGGCTTTCAGCGGAGCACTGCTTCACTGCGTTATATCCGAATTCGTGTTCTATCGGGTCGCGTTCTATCGGGGTAGAGGTGTACCATGGAGACCGCATTTCAATAGGCTAGTTTGAAGGTCTCAAAGACACGAATAACTAGGGCTTTAGTCTAGAGTCTCTGTTTACAATCTGTTTCATAGCACGCCTTCTAACACCAGCATTCTAGCCACCTTCTCCTCTCGTGCTTCATCTGTCTTGTCAATTGTATAGCAAGATGATCTGTGAGGATAGTTTAAAAGGGAGCGAATACTTTGGAGGCAACATACCATTTTTCAAAGAAAAAGGGGTCATAGTATCTTGCCAGCCATCATTTGGTGGACTACTGCAGTACAGTAACCTGAATCTGAAACCTTTATTAGTCTGTAAAGGGACAGTAATTCAGGAGTAATTCATCTGTGAGCACGTGTGCTATGTACTTGGCCTGAAAAATGTAACAATAAAGCCATGACAAAAGGGTGAATGATGCATCTCCAATTCAAAAATAAGCTTAAATGTACATCCGCCTGTGTGTGAATGGTGATTGACAATGAAGTGGGAAAACTCAGTCTAACAGATTTTTTTTTCAGCTGGAAGAAATGCAACAGTTGCGAAGTTGTAACAGACAGCTACAGATAGACATAGATTGCCTAACCAAAGAGATTGATCTTTTTCAAGCAAGAGGTACAGTATGCTTTCTCAGTTCATCAGCAACTATAAACATTCTTTTTTTATTTTATTTTCTCCTCCCCCTCCCCCCCCCCCCCCCCCCCCATGACACATAAATCAAATATCAGGCTAAGCTATACATGATCATCACATAAGTTATTTGCATTATCATAATATTATAGTTATGGTTATGAAAATACTTTCATTCTAAATCCCTGGTTGTGGCGGTTTATAATCTTCCCACTACCTACCCCCTCAAATAAAAGTCGGGTTGAAATTTATTACACCATGGTTTCCATAAGTCTAGAAGTAAATTATTTCGTAACATTGGAAAAATCTAGTTGGCTATTTTTTGAATTACGGAGAATGAAAAAAGTTTCTCGGAATGCATGGCCAGCATTCCTCACCTTTTTCTGTCCGTTATCTAACCACAGGTAGTTAAAACTGTGCTTCAGATTTGCTTCCAGTATGTCCTCCCTCCTCATCTGCAGGGCCATAAGCCTTTTTTTTCCCCCTGTTGCTTTTGGATTCTTTGGTCATTGAAGACCAAGATTGTGCACCTGCAGGTAAGGAAGAAGAAAATAGGGATTTAGTGAAGATAATGCTACAGTGAAGTTTTGAGCCCTTGGACGTAGCTGAGAAACAGAAAAAGAGAGGATTGCTGACATCCAAGAAAATAAGTCATTGGGTATGGTTTAAGATTTGATCAGATTTATTTTGGAGGTTTGTAGAACTCAAATGATTGGCATTTGAAATGCCAAACTTAGCATACAGTTAGTATTCAAGGGTAGTGCATGCTTTTCTACATTAGAAAAAAGAGAAATAAGTTGTGAATGATTGAAAATAACTTTCCGATGTGTTTCAGTACACATCTTTTTCTTTTTAAAGAGGAAATTAAAACGAGAAAAAGTTTATGAAACATTAGGATTGAGAGTTTAAACATATGAAATTGAGGAAATTCAAATTAAGTAATAGCTCAGCAATAAGTTTCATGTAGCTTTTATACATTTAAGTGTGTCTCATAATTGTGAGTTTCATTATGGTTAGGGAGCTCAGAGCTTCTGTATAGTAAGTTATCTAAATACATAAACATATTGTATCGTGGGAAATAATGCCTTTCTTTGGACTGTGGTAAAATAATTAACTTTAAAAAACCAAATATGTGAAAGAGGCAGGTGAAAATTACCAATATAATGCTTTTTATATATAAAACTTTAATTGAATATTATTTAGGCAGTCAGTCTGCCAGCTAGAGCTGTTGACTGAATCAAGCTATCTGGATTCTTTTCCCATCTTTGCCGTTCATTTGTTGTGTAACTTAAGTGGGAAAGTTACTTAGCCACCAGTAATATCTTTCTCAGACCTGTATTGATATCTTGGTATGAAAGGCGCTAATGATGTACATAGTAGTATTATCATTTGTAACCATTACAAAAAAATTGTGCTTTTATATCCAAAGATTTTTGTTTAAAAAAAACTGTATTTACCTTTTTTTCAGGACCACATTTTAATCCCAGCGCTATTCATAATTTTTATGACAATATTGGATTTCTAGGTCCTGTGCCACCAAAACCCAAAGGTACTGTTTGGATTTAGTCATAGCATAAGTACAGTTATACTAAAATCTTATTTTACCTTTACCAATACATGCTGTAATTCTGATTCAATCTGAATATTGATTGTGGTGTCTGTTTTCAAAAGCATGAATGACACTAAGTGTATGTCTACACAGCAATTTAAGTCTGGTTCTGAGCACAGGCTCAAGCCACACACACACGCACTCTCTCTCTCACTCACTCTGTGAATCCACACTGCAAATGTGCTAACCTAGGGCTTAGACCCAGGGTCCCAGTGCATAGGACCTAGGGTGTGAGCCCTATTGGTTTCCTGTCTGCATGTGGCCCTAGGTTGACTCAGGTCCCAGAAGTACTCCAGATGTATCCCAGAGTAACTGGGAGCAGCGCTGCAGGCAGCCAGCACAGCGGCAGGAAGAGCCATTAAATGCCTGGTTGAGTGTGCTCCCCTTTCCTGCTCCTCCCCCAGCACCGGCTCCTCTTTGTTGCTGTGTGGAGCTTGCCTGGAGCAGGGAGTGAAGTTGATAGGCAGGAGGTGGCTCCTGGATGCTGGGATGTTGCGGGTCATCCCTATGCTGAGCTGGGAGCCCTGCCATTCCCTATCTCTGCGGGGCAGCTGCTTGGTCCTGCTTCATTCTCTGGCCATTGCTTCCACCCTCCTTGGGACTGCATGTGCAGGGGCGCCCCGGGCAATGTGCATGGTGAGTGGGAGCCGAGTATCCAGGAATTAAAGATTATGTCGTGATGAAACCTCCAGGAATACATCCAACCAAAATTGGCAACTCTATCCAAAACTTCTCTGCAGCCTCCCGGGGATCCCTTATCCCTGCCTTCTGAGGTGGGGCAGGGATAAGGGATTCTGGAGGGTGAGGGCATGCTGGAGCACACTGTACCTCAAACTCAGGGGATGCACTTCACTCTGCAGCCACCAGCAGCCAGGTTGGGGGGGGGTGTCTTTTTCCTCTGATACTTTCATTTTATGTCAATTTTCAAAACGGACAAAAATAAATAAAAATACAAACAAACAAAAACACCTTCACTGAACATCCCATTTTAAAAATTAAGAATTGCAAAGTTTCATTTTAATAGCTTGACAGCCCTGGAGACAGATGTCCTAATTATCCTCAGAACAGGTGCACAGGGGCATTTTCATGCAGGGAGGCTGCAGTGACTCACCCTAGAGCTGGTGAGCCCAATTCTCAGATTAGGTGGTAGTTCAGCATAAATCCTTCTCAAACAGCAGTCATTCTACTGAGAGAAGCACCAAAGGAGCTACTTATGCCATTTATATACACATGTGCTCCTTTGGGCACATCAGTCCCATCAGTAGCACCATCACAGTTAGGAAACAGGGTGAGCAGTAGTTTTCCCATAATGCACCACCCATAATGCTAGAGTGTCAACATTGCAGGTGGGAGGAGACAGAGCTAGGCACTTTGGGATATATCTACTTTGACTCGGGTCTGTGCACTGCTTTATGGACACCAGTGCCCTAGGTTTGAGCATGGGTCAGAAAATTCTTAATTTAGGATTAAAATGCAGTATTGATACTCAAGCCCAGGGTTCCCTGACTCGAGTTACTAACCCTAGTCTTACATTGCTGTGAAGACATAGTCTTAGGTACCTAACTCTCATTGAAAGTCAGTGAGAGTAAATCCTACCTCTGCATGCTTTCCTTCCTTTTCTGTTTCATTGTATACATTCTCACACTTTTAGGGAGGGAAGAAATTAATACAGAGGAATGATTACATTTAGTATTTTAAAGTAGATTTATTTATGAAAAATACATGAGTTGGATTATGTTTTTGTTTTTTTAAAGTTGGTCATCTGTATTTACTTAATCTATTGCATAGTTCTAAGTAAACTAGATTAGGTGGCTTCATCACAGTCCCTAGTGAAAGCATATTGCTTTAGAAAAGAACAATGTTAGTACAGAATTCCAAGGCAAGTATACCAAATTTCTTGTGAACTCCATGTATGATGGGTATTCTTAATGTGTTCTGAGCTTTTGAAGCTCTTCCTTCAGGTTCTTGCTTTATACACAATTTGAGAAGTGGCTAATTAAAGAATTTTGGCACTGGCAAAGCACTCATTTCTGACAGTTCATGATTTCCCAGAAACTTTTATAAAGTGTCTGATTGGCACATAATACTAAAGAAAACTAGGAGCTATTTTAGCAGCATGCCAAATACATATGTACTGTATCAAAGAAGTGGGCTTTCCTTATTCTAGACTACGGGAAGGTAATTGCACTGTAGATGTGGTGATGATCTCCTTTCCTGGAAGCAGTCAAATAGCTCAACTTTGCAAGCATACTTTTCTGATGAGCTGCTTTGACATTGAATATTTTGCCCAAGGACTAATAGCAGCAATATAAGGTAGAGTATAAATGAAAGCTTTTATAGCAAAGAGCCAGGGAGAATGGATTTAAATCACTGATTTTAATTATGATTTAAATAAGCAAGCAGGATTTGATTTGCATTTGAACTTCAGTTATTTCCCTAAAGAAAGGTTGATTCTCTTTGGTTGGAAACCAGTAAAACATTGATTTGCAACTAAATATAGCCTTTACACTAAATTTGGAACTACTTTTTTTTGCTAACCAGGGGGGATGCATTATGTCTATACGTTTATTTAAGCAATTATCTAACTTAATATACATTTATTCAAATTCTACATTTTTACATTTTTGATTGTTGGAAAATGGTTAATTGATTAATTTTTTATGTACTTAGATGATTATTAATTTTTTATTAGTGATTTGTGTCAAGCTGCATTTGGATGAAAATTGAAATTCAATTAAAAATCCACAAGAACAGCAGTTTAAAATTGTTTTTATTAGTTAAATAAAACTACCTTAAGCATACTGGATACAGAAGAAAAAAAGTAAGTTTATCAAAACATATTTTTGCATTGAGAACTAGCTGATTCACTGAACAAAGAAATAAGTCTTAGTGAATAGAACTGATTGTTTCTGGCCCTCATGTCTTTCAAGATTTTAGAACTAGTAGCGCTCAGCCTCTCACACATTTGTTCTTATTAATAAAATGGAAGTGAAAAAATCAACTTTTCTGCTTTGTCAAATCCCAGTTGGAAGAACTAGTCATTGAACTGAACTAGTTGAAATAAAAACAATATTCTCTCTGCATCTGCAGAAGAAGCTACTGCTATCAAAAGCTGGCTTAGTATTTAAACTCTAATTCCAGATGCTTTGCCTGATTTCCATCAGTTCAGTGATTTGACTTTCATTAAAACTTGAGCAGAAAACATGTACCACTTGAATATTTTCATTTAATTTCAATTATTTTAATATAATTTAGGCCTTAATGTAGGTTGTCGTGGTTTCAAATTTAATTTTAAATCTTTTAATTTTTTTAAAATTATTTCATTAACATTTAAAATATCTGATTCACATAAAAAGCTGGGGTTTTTTAGTTTAAAAAAAAACGTTTTTAAATTTCACGTTGCAAAAAGCAGATATGATTACCCTTGATATTTAAGTAGCAACAACTTAAAAAAGTTGGTTGTCAGATGTTATGTTTAAAATACCATGGCTTTATATTTTTAACTGACTATTTCTGTTAAGAGCATAAGGTATTTGTTAAAATAAATTATTGCAACACTTTTAAATAAAAACTGTGGGCTCTGCATTTTAGAAATAATTCATAACATTTAACTTTAGTATGTGAGCATTTTCCAAAGGAGACGCATGCATCTGGGGATGGGCTACACCTCTCTAAAGAGGATTATGAAGAGTGAGTGGGCGTTAATAATTTCTGAAGTTCAGAATGCAGACTAAAACATTTTAGTCTGCCAAGTCTGAGAGAGAGAGAGAGAGAGAGAGAGTGAGGTTTCATGCTTCCTGGGGCTGAAAACTCAGTGAGTCACATTTGGTGAGTCAGCTGTTTTTTAA